TTGCAGATTTTCTAAGGCACACACCTAACCTTAACAGAAGATCAGACATCCTTCATCCTTTTTAAAGGAAAAAATGCACAATTTACAAACATATAAGAGTATAGAAACTTGAGTCGGGTAACAGTGGATATATTTATATATGTTTAATGCAGCCAATTGCAACTAAAATGAGGTGCACATCTACATGTTATAGCAGTCCTATATACAAAATTTGTTCTGAGGCTACTCGTTTTGGAGTTATGAGAGAGACGTACGTACAGACACCATGAAAAATTCCGTTTCTCAGCAGTTTTATAATTTATTTGGTGGAAAAGAGTCTTATTCTGTCCTTACGTACAGATGCCACACAAAAACATTGTTAAACTGCATTCAAAATGGATATTTTTGTTGAAACATGCTGCCTGAAACCTTTTGCGATTACAATACTTATTACTTTGTACAAGGAAGTAAAAAATGAGAAATGAAACCAGAATAGCACTGTGCATTTGAACTTTTAAAATCTTTGCAAAATTGTTACAAAAAATGTGTGAACACCCGCTGTAGCCGTTTGAAATATAAACAATTATGAACAAGTTGAATACTTATAAATATTCAAATATTTGGGAATCAGTGTATAAAATGGGTTTATTAAATCAGTTCTAATCACTAAAAATCATGAGTTCATTTAGACATTAGACATGGATCTTAACAGATAGTAGTGTAAATGTGATATTTTAGTAAATGAGGAGAAAAGCCCAAGAGAGAATCATTGTTAACTTTCATACTTTTATAGATGCAGGCTAGCAGTAACTGCAAGCAACAATTCACTATGGAACAGATATTGCTAACACATACCATAAACTGCATCTAACAATTAAATTTTAAATTTAGTAAAATTATATCAAATACTGGAATGCGATATGCTTGAAAAATAGTTATCAATTTACAATAATACTTTTTAATGCAAGCAGCCTGCTTGCAATAAAAAGCTTAATAGAAATTTGCCCTAAAATTCCAATATCAAAAATATACACGCATATTCTTAAATAATATGACTGCCAGTTCTATGACTCCTGCTGTACAAACTTCTCATTGACCAATTAATGTGAAACATTTTATAATTTAAAGATTTTATGAACTGTTGCGCTTTTCTACCCCATTATGACGTACAATCATTTAAAATGGGTGTATTCTCCTGCCTTGTGCAGATGGGCTAGTTCTTTGGTAATGTACATATTTGGTTTATATAGTGTTAAATTTGTATTTTATATACTTGTTACAAGTTAATGTTGGAAATTAAATACATCTTTTATTAACATGTTCACTTGAAATGGTATCTAAACTTGAAATTGAATTTTTAAATAGTGCTAGCTGTATAAAAATTTAAAAATACGAGCCCATGATATCCAATAGCCAAATATCATAAGAGAATATTATATACACAATTTTTAATGAAAATTTTATTTTTTTAGATGATCCAATACATATTACTGAGGTGGTTGACGGCCACGGCCAAATCCTCCTTTCTAAATAAGAGAGAAAAAAGTACTTTTAACAAAAAATGGCATATATGGTGAAATGTAAAACATATAAATACAGAAGCATGTTTGGATTAACATTATTATTTAAATACATACATTATTACTCAGCAGAAATGTGTTGCATTTACTCATGTAATTTCTCCTTTCTATCCCTTAATTTTATCTGCTGAAAATCAAGAGGACAAAACTACAGGAATCTTGAGTGAAAAATGTAAAGAAACTTAGTGGAAAATTTGTTCCGAATCTTAATTATAGTGAGAAACACTAGTAAAATTAAACAATTTTTTCTTGTAAAAGAAAAAAAAAAATTTTTTTCGCTGTAAAATTCATTCTTCCGACAATAGTCAGACAAATTTAGTAATGTGTTTTTTTTTTTTTTTTTAAATGCATCCTTCTTTGTAATAAAGCTGTCTAAAGATATTTGTTTTACCCTATGCTTCAAAATATGGTGAAAACATACTTAAATAAATTTTAAGTATGCACAGATTCTACTTTATTAGGGTAATGCTTATCAGAGTATGATGCAACAGTTTCCCATGCTTTCAGCATTGCCCTTATTTTACTGGAAGGTTTTTGCCTCACTCTTATATCCTCCTCAACTTCTTGTTGTGACACAGAATGCAACTCCATAAGCTCCTTGGTGATTAGCCACTAGCTCACTAATGTCGTTGCTATCTAATTCTAACCCTGTAATCAGACAAAATTTTGTTGATTACAGACACTTGTTCAAATGCCCAGGAGTTGCATTAGACAACATTGTCTGATTCTTCCATGAAATTCTCTTGATGATTCTCTCTCGTGCCTTGTTGATGATTTTGAGGCATGCAACGATGTGAAATTGGTCCTTCTAAAACTCTCAGAGAGATTGGTTCTTTCAGTTTCCTTAAAAGAATGCTTGAAGAGCACTTCAGTGTATATATTAAAATTTGAAATAATGATCAGCTGGTCCAGGGGCTGCAGTAAAGGAATCTTGAGAGGCAGGAACTGGATCTTGATGAATTTAAATCCTTCAAGGGGGTTATCTTCTAGGCCTGAAGGATGTGCAGGAGCATGGTACATTAAAAAGCACAGCATGGAGTGGTAAATTCAAGAATGATTCTAAAACACTTAATTCATCCAATCTGTAAAAAAGGTCATGTGTCATCCAAGCCTCTGTTGTTGAACCTCCACATGATATTTAGCCTCTCTTCTAGATTTTATACTTCTCAAAGACTTACGGATTGTTTGAATGGTAAATGTGTAGTGGTTTAACTTTCAGATCAGCACATGCATTTGGGCAAAACAACAGTGGAGAATGTTTTTCATTAATTTGTGGCCCAGCAAAGCGTTCTCCTTTACTGTTATAAAAGTCCATTTTGGTATCTTTTTCCAGAAGAGACCCATCTCATCACAATTAAAAACCCGCTTTGGCAGATGACCCTTGGCATTCATAAGCTTCTTGAATATCCTGATGATGTTACCAATTGCCTTTATGTCAGAGCTTGCTACATCTCCATGCCTCACAGCGCTGTGGATGTCAATTCTTAAACTTTTCAAACCACCTACAGCTCGTCTTAAATTCTTCTTCATCCGTTAATGATCCGAGATCTTCTAAATGAGATCATCAAAAATTAGCTTTGCCTTATCCCAAATTATATATATATTTTTTTACTTCTCTCTGATCCAAGCGACAATAAGATGCTAGATGAGCATTAAACACAGACTGATAGCCGAGATGCAGGCATGCCTGTACATGTCACTCGTTCTGTGAAAGGTCGCTCATGTGTTAAGAGATGTGTATTAAGCGAAGTTTGTACAATTAAAAGGTATATATCAATTAATCCCTATAATATATACTTACTGCTCATCTTCCTTTCAACAGCCAATAAAAAGAAAACTTTTTTTTACAAACTACAATTGGATTTAAGCAAAAAGCTCATAACCTACTGTGATATAGCAAATAGGATGAGTTAACTAATGCAACTATCAATCCATTTCACATTCTTCTTTCAATATTAAACTTTTGATATTTAATCTCAAGGGCTGATTTTTTTTAACCTTTCTTTCCCATGAGAAAGATAGTAATCAATAATTCCAGAAAATACTTATTATTTTATTTTCAGATTCAGACAGTAAGCTGAAAATAAGTGAATAACTGAAAAGTTTTTAAATCATGTCCTAAAAATCCTAGGGAAATCACACGTGGCAGAGAAATACACAAGTAAATACAGTATTCAATAATTTTATAGTAAAAGATTATTTTGAATTGCTGAAATTTTCTTAAAAATGTTCTTGCATAATGAAGCTTTAATATTAAATATATTAGAAGTAATAAAGAAAACTTACGAATTCCAATTTTGTATCTGTGCCGAGACCAACATCACCTCTCTTATCAGGGACCACCTATATAAAAAAAAATATATACATATATATATATATATCTTGCTAGTTCATTAAAATTAATTTCAGCAATATCCCACTAATTAAGTCAAGAAAAAATTATCTGCAATAACCTAGGGATTAAAAAATTCTGTAAATTAAAATTTTTATAGAAGCTGGGGGGGATAAAGCAATTCTCGCATAACTAAGATACAGTTCAATAAGCTCAATTTCAATTTGACATTTACTAAATTTAACTACTATGTATATTGCTATATAACAACAGTAATATTCACATTTAACCCCAAATCATAATTAATTCGGGAGCAGTTGTTAAAAAAAGGGGAGAGGAACAATCATATCATACGAGGCATGATTTTAAAGTAAATACCATACGGAATGAAAAAAGGAACAATTTTTTAACCAGTTTTAATTCTATATGAAAGCCTATTTTTCTATGCAGTTTCTGCCCATATTAAGGCTTTTTACCATATCATAAAACCAGTTTTTAAATTTCCTCATCAACAAAGTCTGTCGTCTAATTTGACAGCCACTGCCAAACACAGTTGTTTTGACCTTGTCATTGTGATGAAGGCTGCCCAGATGTTTCTTCAAAATGTAAGAACAGGTAGTAATCAATAAACATTAGATCAGGACTGTATGAAGCATAAAGTTGTTCCCAGAAAAATGACACCTTTAGTTTGTTTAGCCGTATGTGAACAGGCACTGTCATGCAGCAAGGTGATCCCCCTAAGCATGCCACTCACTAAACTGAGATGCATTTTCAGCCACTTTCACATACCTTTAGCATTAAGAAAACAAATTACCAATTGTATTTTGCAGTCAGCAAGATTCCCAATTGGTGGAGACATTTTAAATATTAAAAATGAATATTATCATGGTCAAAAGTTTTCATAATAGTGACTGTGACTTGCCAATAGAAGTAAGAACCAATAAGTAAATGACACACATATAACATAGACAATTAAACGACTTCGAATGTGGTCACATTGTAGGGTTCCATGAAGCTGGGTGGTCATATCGACCAATAGGCAGCCACCTGCAGCGTACAGACACTGCTGTGGAAATATGTTGGCAGCAATGGTTGCTTCAAGGAAATTGCCAATGAAATGATGGCTGTGGAAGGCCAACAAGCACAAATGCGAGGTAAGATAGGATGATTTTTCGCCAGGTCCGAGCCTCCCCAACGGTATCATTGTCGACTATTCAGCATACTAATACCACGTCTATAGGCGGAATTACACTCACAGAGGCCCTTAAGTCATTTGCCTTTGATCCCACAAAATCAGCGGAGTTTTCTGGAGTGGTGTTGCAGCGGATCATCATGAACTGCCATCAGCCTGGCATCGTATAGTGTTCAACGATGAATCCCACTTCACTTTTGAAGCAAATGACCACCGTGTTTGTGTGGAGAGGACGGGGCCAGTGTCCCAATCAGCCTTTGTTTACAAAGGCATACAGCCATAACCCCTCGTGCGATGGTGTGGGGCACTATTTCTTAAGATAGCAGGTCATCTTTAGTCATCCTTTGTACATCTTTAAAAGCTCAACGATATGTTGATAGCATCCTGCGGCCGGATGCAAAAATGCAAAAATTTTTAAGGAACATTCTAAAAATTGAAATAATTTCCATTCTAAAAATGAAAATATTTGATGGATAATTTCTGCAGAACAGTCAAAATTGTAATTAAGTATCTAACTATGATTGGCTGTTGAATATTTCTTTAGTTCTTTTCAACATATGTGAAATTTTAACGCTCTTTTAATTTGGCTGATATATGACGATATGGATATTCCCCAAGAATTAAGAGACAGGATTTTCAAGAACATTCAGAGAATTAAAATTTCCAATTTAATTTCAGGGTTGTTTATCTTCTCACCGTGGCTTGCCATATATCCTAAATTAAAAGAGCATTAAAATTTCATGTCAAGAAAGATAAATCTTACGTTCAAAAAAGAGCTATGCAGAAATCTTAAATATCTAATCGCAGCTGGATACAATTCTGACTTTCCTTATACAAACACATTACCCACAGAGCTTATTCAAATATGAATTGGATTTCCTTGAAGCTTTTCCCATTCACAAAATTGTTATTTTTCTTGTAAATGATATTAATTTCAACAGCTCATAATAATTTTGAAATTCTTATAGCTTAGTTTTTTTTTTTTTTTTCCCATTTCATAAATGTTTTCTTCTGAAAATGACAGAAATGTGTATGGTCACCTTGGAAATAAGTCAATAGTTTTCATCAAAATCTATACCAAACTAAGGTTGCTAACATTAAATTTTACTCTGGCATTTTTCTGTTCCAACTGATTATAATCTTTAAATTAATGCCAATATCTTGAAATGCAACTGCACAAATCACAGCAAGTTTTTGTTTCAGAGGCTTGAAATGGTAAAAAATTTACATCAACAGTAAAACTAATTACAAAATTCAGTTACCTGGAGCCCATCTGTATCCTTCTCTATCACTAGCTGCTTTTGGTGCAGCATCAGGAGCTGGAAAAGAAACTTTTATAAACACATCTCAGAAAGGGGGAAAAAAACACATTTTTTTTTTTTTTTTATTTACATGTATAAAATAAAATTCAGAAAAGTAGTTAAAAACAACAAACTGAGCTTTTTAAAAATATACGAGAATCAAGACAAAATTTAAATTTCTGGAGTTCAAAAATGCAGCTTCTGAAAAGTTAGCCAATATAGTGTAGGTAGCTCACAGAATAAACTTCAGTAGCTTGCAAGTACACTATTTACAATTAGTTGTGAAGAACAGTATCCTTATTTGCTTCACAGATTACTTAACCATGTAGAAGTCTAATGTATTGGAAAACTTATAAACAATAATTCAAATATTTTAGTTTTTAATGCACATACTTTGTCTCTATGCAACCGTCATTTTTGTGACTGTTAGTTGCAAATACAGTCAAAAGTCGTTAATCCAGACTCGTAGGGACTTCGGCGATTCCGGATTATAGATCATCAGTTTAAATCTGGTAAGAGGGCATGCAGAAATTATAAAATTAAAAATATGAAACCATAATTTATGAAATAAAGAACAATTATGATCTAAAGGGTATCAAAATTGACAAAAAAAAGCTTAATATTTACTTGTTTACTTTATTAAACATTTCTTTCAATGCAAGTTGTTTAAGTTGGCTTCGTTTTATGGATAATACCTTCTCTTTAATTCTATAAACAGACATAATTTCTTGTTCAGTTACAAAGTTCCGCTGTTCAAGTCCTGTAATTGTTGTGTTCGAGAATACCGACTAACTTGTCAAATCGAAATTTTTTTCGTTTTCAATAACCTCTCTGTCACTTTCTTCACTATCAGAAGCGGATATTTTCTGGATCTAGAACCATACTACAGATTTCGCTGTCCATTAATTGATTGATAATTGGGGCATTGTCGTCATCGCAATGAAAAACTTCTCTTATATCATCTTCATTTATTACCGCTTCTCCACATTTCTTTACAAAATCCAATAACTGAAAAATTTCACCTTTAGTTTGCGATGTCCGAAAACCTTCAAATTCGCGATTATCATCTTCATTCTCCTCACCATGAAATATGGTAGATGGCCATATTATGCCAAGCATTTTTTAACGTACCTGGAGACACATCCTCCCACGATCTTGCAATGCTCCACACGGCAGATTTTATGCTAAAAAATTTCAAAAATTCTTGAATAGTCTTCCCACTGTTCAAGAAATTTAACATAGATTTAAAAAATGCTACTTTATATTTGCATTTCAGCATGTGCACTATTCCCATATCCATGAATGATAGACGTACAATTTGGAGGGAATAATAATACAGATACATTATCTTTCACTAAAACTTTAAGTCAAGTATGCACCAAACAGTTATCAACAATCAGGACTATTTTTGAGTCATCACGTAAACCAACTGAATTCAAATGTCGCAGAGCCTCGGGTATAAAATGATTTTCAAACCAATCATTCTTCAACACTTGTGTCACCCATGCTCTTTTATTTGCGCGATATATAACAGGGAAAATCGTTACTCCTTTAAACTCTCGAAGTTGTGCATGTTTTCCGATTACAAAACGTTTGCACTTGCGCGTTCCTGCAGCATTTGCACATGCTAAAATTGTTAGTATCTCTTTGGAATCTTTGACACCAGTTGGAGCCTTTTCTGTAGAGGTTGCCAAGGTATTTCGCGGCACATATTGCCAGAAAAGACCAGTTTCATCAGCATTGTAAATTTGTTCTGCAGATAACTGTTCACTAGTATTGAATTCATCTACAAATTGTTCAGCAGCTTCAGTATCAGCTGAAGATTTTTCACCTGAAATTTTTAATTGTCTTATACCATGGCGATTTTTAAATTTGGTTAACCAACCTGTCGAATATGTGCACTCTCCGTTTAAGTTCATTTCTTCATGAAATATTTTGGCTTGAGCCATTACCATTGGACCCGTCAATGGCATGCCCTCGCTGCGACCCTGTCTGACCCATTCAATCATCAATTTGTCATGATCGTCACTTTTAGCATAATGAACCCTTTTTCTGTTATTCATTGCAAATGGGGTGTCAGAATCCACAAAAAATTCAAAAAGTTCCTTTTTCTTTTTGCTTATGTCATATACCGTTGACTTTCCAATGTTATACTCCTCGCATAATTTTGAGACGGATATGCCTTTAACCATTTTTTGTTTGATGGACATCGAAACATACTTTCGCTTTGTAGATCCTTTGGAAGCTCCAGCATCAGAAATTCTATTTGTCATAATCGAAAGTTCAAGCTTACTTTTATAAAATTGCTCTAACAGTCTGCAAAAAATAATAAGCCGGATCCAATTCGAAGATTAAGTAACAACGCAATCTGCAACATTAACTGAAATAGATAATTTTAGCTTATACCGGCCGTTAAACATTAAACGCGCATGCATAAACATATGCGCAGAAAGTTTGCAGCTTTGAGGTCCTGATTTTAGATCATTCTGGATTATGGGTGTCCGGATTAACGACTTTTGACTGTACATACTTTTAATCACAAAAGTACTTTATACAAGAAAATATTTATGTTGCTTTTTTTTTTAAATTTTCCAACCAATTTTCAAAAATTATAAAATTAACTTTTTATAGTTAGTAAAACTTCATGCTAATTTTTTAAAAAAATGGTCTCACATATAAGGTGTGATCCATATATTTAATATTAAAGTTCAAGATCATGCTATTTAAAATCCAGGTCTTGTATATTAACTAAAGAGCAAAACATTTACATTTAGACATAAATAAAAATCAAACATAAGTTAAAATCAATAAAACTTCCTCTTAATTAAGTGGCCTTTCTGGTGCTGAAACTTGGTGAAACTGATCAAGAGCTGTGCCAAGATATTTTTTCACCTGAACCAAAAAGGTAAATGTGTACCTAGTATATATATGCAATGAAAGGGTGGTTCGATAACACGAGAGGAAAGATTTGATTATGAATGCAGCACAAATTTGCATTAGATTTTTTCATAATTAGAACTGGCCGAAGAATGTAATGGCAGAACAATTTTGGAGGCATTGAAATATGAACGCTGAGACGTAGAAGCGTAGAAATACTAATTGCGTGGGTACTTGATGCTTAGAGCATCCATTCATTTTTGAAGAAGACGCAGTCGAGCCAAATTAAATTCCTTTTATTTATTTAAATTCTTATTTTGTGGCCACAATACACTTGGCACTCCACTCGTGCCTATTAAAGAACATTTAATATTTTGATATTATTGCCATAGAAGCGAATATAGCAGCTCATACATGATTGCAGTAAAGCATCTGGCGAAGAGGAAAGCACAAGCAAAAGTGAAGCATCAATTCACAGAAAGGAGGGAGGGAGTCAAAAGTTTCAGTTTCTAGTTTTGGTGATTTGTCAAGAGGCATCTGCATTAAGGGTTACCTGAGATCGCATGATTAATTTGAATGACGCAGTTTAGACTTACAGCGCTATTTTTTGGACAGATAGAAGTTCCCAAATGAAATAAAAAAGAGGTTACAGTGAATTAAATTTAGAAGTTTGCTTTCATATTTTTTATCTTACATATATATAACAATCAATTAATCAATACTGTTTAGGAAATAAATTTATATATATATAATATATCAAGCAAGGTAGTAATTACAATTTTGAAAAACTAATTTTGGTCTAGAAAACATCTTGCGCAATATGCTGCAAAATAAGTAAAATATTAAAAAAAAAAAAAAAAAAATGTAGTAAGCTCGCCTAAAAGTTACCAAGAGCTGTTGCTCCAAAAAGTTCAACACGTTTTAAAAAATTAATACATATGAAAATCAAACCATTAAACATGTAAAATATTTAAAAAAAAAAAAAAAAAAAAAAAAAACCAGAATCAGATGAAAAGGTAAGCGGAAAATGGTAAATTAGCCCAACTCAATTTCCAAACTGGCTTTTCAAGGGAAATTTCATTTATTTGAACGTCGAATCAAGCTAACCCCATTACGTGTTTCGCCGAAACAGACAATTGAAACTTTTTCGCTACAAAAATTTTTTTTAAATTTAGACAAAGTGTCTTGGAAATTTTAATAGTCTCAATTCTCTGTTCCAATTTCCCGACGTGCCTGCACAGAATGACACATTAAGGTGTTAAAATATGTTATAACAATACCTATACATCTTAAATCTAGACTAAAATAAAATAAAAACAAAAATAAATAGCGGTCAGCTATTAGTCCTAAATATACAAAAACATACGGGCTGGGCCTGCAAGCTTAAAGATTAACAATTTAATTTTTATATTTTAGAAATCTGTAATGAAAAACTGTAATTAAATTAAAATAAAAGAAAAGGAAATTAATAGGATAACAATCTAAGTGGGTCCTTGCTAAGACCAAGAAAAAGTTGTAACAAAAGAAACAAAAAACTGACCTGTGGCGATGTAAAGCTCTCCCTCTTAAAACTAGTTGATAAGTGGTTGCAATTCCTTTCTGTGTACTTCATCCGAATGACGTATGTAGGGGGGAGCGAAGTTCTGTGGGCATTAGCCAATACGAAGAGATTTTCGTTATCTGCAACTCGTCTCATATTATCGAAGGGGGCCGGAAAACTCGGAAAAACGTGAAAAGATCTCAAAAATGGCGCCTGGCATGTATGGATGGAAAATTTTTTTTCTCGAAGTGAAAATGGCTAATTCAGCTAAAACTACAAAAACTTGGCCATTAAAGCAAGAGTAAAAGGAAAAAAACAGTCATTTGTTAGTCATAATTCTTCAAGCTAGCGGGCAATCAAGCTACTATGAAAAACGAAAAGGCCCGATTTGTTAATAAAAGCAGTAAAATTGGCCATTATAGAAATTTAAAACTATGTACACAATAGTATTTAAAATTAAAGTGCCAAAATTTTGGAGGAAAGAGAATGAATAAACAAGAATTATCTGTACATTTTTACAATAGATTCTCTGAATTAGTCATCCATCTTAAACCGTCCGTGGCTTTAGGCATAAAATATCATTATCTAATTCAAAAAATCT